CTGTTAATGATATTACGAACGGCGAACAATATTCTGAAAATTTTATTCACCTTTAAAGATAAATAAAAGAGGACAGGGAAAATATGAAACATGGAAAATATAATATACAGACTACATTTTCAATGTAATAAGTCGTATTTGAAATTCATTTCACTTGTAAATGTGACAACAAATATCACGCGATGCATATTTTACATATTCTTGCATCTTGCGAACGTTCTTTACGCGTTCAAGTGTCGCGTAAATATCCACTCGTTGTAACATTAAATAAAACTTCAAAATTGTCCCGTACTGAGACACGTAATAAGTTTGTGGAGAAAAAAAAAAAAAAAAAAAGAAAAAAAGAAAAATTAAAATCAAATACGTTTGCGAGCCATTGTATATCCAGCAATCTGGCCAAGAGGAAATTTGTTCCATCTTCGATAAAGTAGAGCCGAGAAAATTGAGGGCAAATTCTATTCCCTTGGGTAGGGAAGGACGGGCGAGAAAGAGTCCAATAAAATGCGCATATAAGGGAAGCTATAGAAAACGGGGAAACGAGTGTCTGAACATAAAACGAATGCAAATTTACATACGTACTGGAGGTGAGGAAGAGACACGAGAGAACATAACCGATAATGGCACTGGATTCATGATCCCGCGCCGTACATAGAATTTCATGCTCGACGCTGTGCAACGCGATATTAAATCAAATTTTCGAGTAACGCGATTAACGTAGAACGATAGCAGCTCGCAGACAAATACTCGCTGCAATTTGTCGCGGTTTTTTTTATAAAATTGAAACATGTACAATACTTGCAAAAATATAATAACATAGTGTAGGATAGATTTTACTCTTGAAATTTGATACGAGTTACCATTGTATCAACGAATTTATTTGTACGATAGAAGCAAGTAATATTGCAGTGAATGAGGAATTTTATGGAAAATATCAGAAACGCGTACGAAATGGAAACGGATAGTATTATCAGTTGAAGCAAACTATAAACAGGTTTAGGAGAGAAAATGGCGATTGTGGAGGAAATTTAGCAATATCCTATCCAATTTCCAGCTATTCTATTCCAATTAGCTGCGATAATCGAAGTTCTACCACATTATTATACCTATCTACCGTAATGTGTTTTAAAATATCTTTTAAAGTGAAGTATACTTCGTTTTTTACGACGAGCTTATTTTCTCTACGATTTTATTCTTGGGATTGTTGCATCGCTCGGGCCATTTTTTAAATCGTGTTCAAATTTCTAATCGAACGAGAGAACGCGAAATCGATGGTCGTTGACATTCAAAGTCAAGTGCAAGATCGCGATGTAAAAGATTCAAGATTCCACGTCAGAATTAAATTTCAATTATTCAAGGAATTCTCATCCTTCGAGCTGTCGTG